CCTCTGACTACTACCCACTGCTGGTTTTTCAGGTTGGCAATGATGAAATTGTTACAAGGAGTCCAAGGGCAGTGAAGAGAGACTTCAGGGCCCTGGGAACAGCTGGTTGGGGGGTCTGGAGCACAAGTAGTGTTTTCCTCCATCCCTGCTGCAAGAAAGGATGAAGAGATAAACAGGAGGAGGCTGCAGATCAACGCATGGCTGTGTGACTGGTGCCAAAGGCAGGGCTTTGGGTATTTTGATCACAGGCTGCTATATGAGACACCTGGCCTGCTGGTGGCAGGTGGATGCACCTGTCCCAGAGGGGCAAAAGGCTTTTGGGGCAGGAATTAGCAGGGCTCATTGACAGGGCTTTAAACTAGATATGAAGGGGGAAGGGGAGATAACTGGGCCTGTTAGGGACAAGCCCAAGATAAACATGCCAGGGCTTGAAGGATGGTGGACTAGGGAGTATTCTTACTCTGTTGTTTCATTTGAGAGAAAGAATAGATGTTTAGAAATCATGGAAGCACTGAGAAGGGTCTGGTAGGAAATGGAGCCCACAGTGCAAAAAAGGTGTTGGAAACATTAGCTCATCTGAAGTGCATCTATACCAGTGCACGCAGGATGATCAGCAAACGGGGAGCTTGAATCCATGGTACACCAGGGAAACTATGACATAGTGGCTATCACAGAAACGTGGTGGGATGCATCACATGGCTGGAGTGCTACAATGGATGGCTACAAGCTCTTCAGGAGGGATAGAAAGGGAAGGAGAGGGGGTGAAGTGGCCCTGTATTTTAGAGAATGCTATGAGAGCTTGGAAATCAAGTATAGTCGTGATGAGGTTGAGAGTGTTTGGATTAGGTTGAGGGCCAATAAAGCTGGTGTCACTGTGGGAGTCTGCTGGAGACCTCCCAACCAAACAGTGAGATGGATGAAGCTTCCTATAAGCATTTGGGAGAAATCTCCCAGTCACTTGCTGTTGTTCTTGTGGGGGACTTAAACCTCCCAGACATCTGCTGGGAATACAACACAGCAGAGAGGGAATATTCCAAGAGGTTCCTGGAATGTGTGGAAGATAACTTCCTCACACAGCTGATAAGTGAGCCAATCAGGGAGGGTGCCCTCCTGGACCTGCTTCTGGTGAACAGGGAAGATCTTGAGGGGGAAGTAAAAGTTGGAGGCCAACTAGGGCACAGTGATCATGAGATGATTGGTTTTGATCCTTGGAGAAACAAGGAGAGGGGTCAGTAAAACTGCCACCTTAGACTTCCAGAGGTCAAACTTAGACCTGCTCAGAAGACTGATTGACAAAGTCCCTTGGGAGGTGCCTTGAAGGATAAAGGAATCCAGGAAGGCTGGACATAATTCCAGAAAGAAGTCTTAAAGGCACAGGAGCTGCTTTCCCTGTGTGCCCAAAAACCAGGAAGCAGGGTAGGAGACCAGCCTGGCTAAATAAGGACCTTTGGCTGGACCTTAAGGACAAAAAGAGAGTCTATGACCTTTCCAAGAGGGGACAGGTCACTCATGAAGTCTATAAAGGTGAAGTGAACCTGTGAAGGGTGAAAATCAGGAGAGCCAAAGCGCAGCTGGAGCTCAGACTAGCTACAGCTCTTAGGGATAATAAAAAATGTTTCTGTAAGTTCATTAACAGCAAAAGGAGGATTAGGGAAAATCTCCATCCTTTATTGGATACAAAGGGGATCTTAGTAACAAAGGATGAGGAAAAGGCTGAGGTGCTCAACACCTACTTTGCCTCAGCCTGTAGCAGTGGAACTACCTGTTCCATGGGTACTCAGCCACACGAGCTAGGAGACAGGGAGGGGATGCAGAACGAGGTCATCACAATGAAAGAGGAAGTGGTCAGAGACCTACAACACCACTTAGACATACCCAAGTCCATGGGACCGGATGGGTTACATCCAAGGGTGCTGAAAGAGTTGGCAGATGGGATCACCAAGCCACTTTCCATTACTCACCTGAAGTCCTGGCTAACTAGGGAGGTCCCAAGGGACTGGAGGGTGGCAAATATAACACCCATCTCTAAGAAAGGCAGAAAGGGGGATCCAGGAAACTAGACCTGTCAGTCTGACCTCGGTATGAGGGAAGGTCATGGAGCAGATCATCTTGAGTGTCATTAGAAGACATACAGGTGTGGATTTTCGTGAGTTTTCATTATATAAAAAGCTGTGTGGAGAGTGAAGAAGAGCTGTTCTTACACAGGCATCTCTGCAAAGCCTCCCTCTCCCCTCAGGCCTGGGGACAGCTGGAGGGGTGGCATAGGCTCCAGCAGCTGGCACGCCTGGCTCAGTGGTGCTGGGAAAGCACATCCCTCCTTTGGGAGGGGAGGGAAGGGCAGAGCTGGCAGGAGAGACATGAGCCCTGAGGGAGCTGAGCTACCTGCCCTCAGGGGAGAGTGTGGCTGGGCCAGCTGCCTGCAAGGAGTGCCCAGGCTGGGAGGGAGAGGACAGGGCTGGGGCTGCCACCAGAGCACAGACAGAGCCTTGAAGGAGCTGGACTGAGGAAGGTCACAGAATCGCAGCACGGTGCGGGTTGGAAGGCACCTCTGGAGATGATCTTGTCCAGCCCCTCCTGCCAGAGGATGTTCACCTAAACCAGGTGGCCCAGAATGGCATCCAGATGGGTTTTGAATGTCTGCAGAGATGGAGCCTCCACAACCTTTCTGGGCAGCCTGTTCCTGTGCTCTGCCACCCTCAGACTAGGTAGGTTTTTCCTCACATTTAGATGGAACTTCCTGTGTTTCAAGCCAGGGTCAAACCCAGCCTGCTCTCACCCATATTCTGCATAGCAAGAAGAGCACACAGGCATTGTACTGTCCTCAGTGCCAAGCTGCAGGTGTGGCTTCTGAAGTGTAAACCAGTCTGTGTCTGTTGCCCTAAAGCACAGGCATCTGCCCACCCTAAAATTCATCTGTCCCTTCTCACCACCAAGCTGCCAATACAAACACTTTGTGTTGGCTGTCAGGCTGCAAAGCTGGGCTGCAGCTGACCAACACCAGGGGTGTTGTTAGGGTGTTGTTGTGCTGTTGCTTGAGGAGAACATTGACAGGCAGGGCACACAGGAGATGGAACTCTGAAGCCTACTGATGGCAGGATTTCTCTGTAGGTTATTTCAGCAGCACCATCACAGCACCTTTTGCTTCTGTCAATGACCGTAGCTGCAGGAGGCAAAGGTCTGACCCAGAATATTCAGCCTGTTCATCTGAGCTGTCTCTGGGCTATCAAAAGACACCGTTACATTTCAAAACACCAGTTGAAATCTCTTGTGATCCTGCACTGTCCATCTAAGCTGTTAATGGAATATGAGGAAAGGCTGAGAGACCTGGGGCTGTTCAGGCTAGAGAGGAGAAGACGGAGGGGGGATCTGATTCATGTCTGTAAATACATGAAGGCATCAAGAAGGCAGGAACAAGCTCTTGTCACTTTTGCCCTGTGACAGGACAAGGGGCAATGGATTCCAACTCCAGCCCAGCAAGTTCCAACTTAACATGAGGAAGAACTTCTTTACTGTGAGGGTGACAGAGCCCTG